AAATGGACAGGTGGGGTTTGTGAATGGTGTTTTCCCGATTTTAATGAGTTTTTGGTCTTTTTTTAGCCTATATTTTAATGATATCGTTACGACAAGCAATCGTTGCGGACTTCTAACTGGACACTCTTGACTTTCAGCTTGTGAGTAAACAGCGATTTTGTGTTGTTTCTGTTTGACTAGCAAGATTGCGGCAGTAACTCCTCGTTTGTATTTCTTCAAACGCTGGTCGCTGTATTTTAACAAGCTGATTTGCATTTGTCTTGCTAATGTGATCTGAAAAATAGTTTGCTGTAGAATATATTTCTGTTTTTTCTTTTTACGATGTTTAATGTTTGTACTGAAATAAAACGCTTTCTTTGCTCTAGTTAAGAAAAAGCGTTTCTCCCTCATTTGCATTTAATTTGCGTTTATTATAATCGGTGCACTAGTCACTTGTATTTTAATAAGCTGTTTGTAATGTGAACTGAGAAGAAAAAAAATACAATTATAGTTATAAAACATTATTTTATCACATGTATCATATTTACTGTGTGGCCAAAATTAACTTTTAAGAAGTATTTTCTATTGTTTGTTTTGTTAATTACGATATTAACACCCTTCTGTATTTAAATTTGCAAATTGGTTCTCTAGTTGCTTGTATTTTAATGAACTTTTTCAATTTTTGTTGTAAATGTTTTTGATTTAACGTTTTGAACTGGAAATACATTATTTTCACTCAAATGTTCTTGTTATCTAAAATGTGTTTACTCTCGTACTGAACACAAATGTTAAATTTCTTTAAACGTCTGGCTTATTTGTCTTTTTTGAAGAATGTATTTGTTTTTTTTTAACGGTTTGCAAATTTCAAAACTTAAATGCCTTAGCACTATGAAACAATAAAGGGGTAGCCGTCTAACTATAATTAGTTTAACACTTCAGATTATGCTAATTCACTAAAAATGTTGAAGTAAAAGGGCTATTTTCATTCATTACCATTAAACAAATCGCACCCAGGACAGCGCTTGCAGATGTGCTTTTGTGATTGGGCGAAATGTCTTGTCACTCATAAAAAGACAACCCTTAAATCCTACATCATACTTGGAGGGATTATTTTGATTGATATGCCAACCAATTAGTATAGAGAAATGGGATTTTATTCCATCAGATTGAAGTATGGGTGGGACCTGGGTGTGGTGCTTCAATTTTGACCAATCTCAGAGTAAAAATCTTGGAGGTGGACTAACCCAACCAGTGTGATTGGCTGTGACATCATAATATCAACCTTCTACTGAATAATGGAACACGCC